CCCTCATGCTTCCTGCCTGGAAAGGAGAAAATAACTCTATTGAAATACACCCAGAACATTCTGTTTCATTGGGGGAAGTTGTTTTTTGTCTGTTTGTTTTTTTTAATGAGAAATTATTTTACCAGAGCCTAACCAACCCGGGGGAAGTTAAATCCCTTCTGTCTCACCCAAATTGTGGTGGGGGGAAAGAGACACACTAGTGGAGGTCACAGTTCAGGGCACAGGCTCAATGAGAACTAACCACAGAACTACAGATGCTCCCCTCTGTCCCACCACCACATCGCCTTACCTGCATGTCAGTAGGGCCCCTGTGTAATAACAGGAATAAAACTAAAAGAAGTAAATGTCTCAGGAGTGTCTAGGGAAAACCCAAACACAGCGGGGAGATGAAAACAAGGACACACAGGTGGCTTTAGCCTCTCACACCAATAGCTGTAGCAAACTACACACAGCCCAGCCCCAGTAGATAAACAGAAAATCTCACAGAAGAAACTATTTATTTTGGTTCTCTTACCCAGGGCATCCCACATTGCATGCTCGCCTAGAATTGAGTGGAAGCAAGTCCATCTCAGAAGAGACATAACTGAAGAGGGAAGGCTTTCCAGACTCTGAGGGGCAGAGAGAGCACCAGTCTGGGTTAGAGAAAGGTGAGGGGTGGGGTAGGGGGTGGGCTGCCTTCTTCCCCAAATAAGGAACCTTCCTGAGGCCAGCACAGAGGGAGGGAGGGCCATGGGGTGGAAGCAGCCAGGCTTCTTCCTCAGAACTGATGAGATGCCTCCAAGGCGCCATTCAGGTGCCCAAACTGGGCCCTGAGGGTGGGAGCCAGTCTGTCAGCCTCAGAGCCCAGGACTGAGGTGGGCGCACAGCAGGCCGGTCTTACTTGGCTGGATCCATTTCTCTTCTCTGAAGCCCTGTGTAAAACATGAAGCGTGGACGGCCTGGTGAGCACAGCTCTGCCCTCAAGAGCGGTTTCAACTCCTCTCTTCCCAGAGAACAGCATCTCTGAGCCCGTCCTGGGTGACCTCACAGAGTTCACCCTAGTGGCCCAGCCTACTGGCAGGGAACATATACTTTCTGGCAGGCAACCCCAGAGGTTCACTGATGCATCATGTGCTGGCCAGGATAGGATATGAGTCCCTGCACGCTGGTGCAACAGCAGAGGCTCTGCCACAGGCCTAAGAGGTGGTGTGTGGGACATGCAGGGGTGCAGGGGTGTAGGTGGTGCAAGGTGAAAGTTGTGCCAGGGGTGCACGGGCTGTGGAGGGTGCAGGCAGTTCAGGGGCGTAGGGAGTGCAGGGGTGCAGGGAGTGCAGAGGTTCAAGAGCGCATGCAGTGCAGGGGCTGCAGGGTTTGCAGGGGTGTTGGGGTGCAGGGAGGTGCTCAGGCTCTTGGCCAGAGTCAGAAGGCTGGTGCACATCCTCGCAGTCAGCCTGACCCCTGGAGGCGGATGCGGTGCGTTTGGGGTGGCGGCGGCGGAAGGGGGCTGCCCAGGGAAGCCGCTTGTTTACTTCTCTTCCCCGCAGCCTGGCCTGGAGGAGGCCTTGGCCACAGGAGATTTCCCGGAAGTCGGACTCCAGGTGAGCTTGCTCCTGGGAGGCGGGGCGGTTCGGTCAGGGGCGGCCGCAGCGGCAGCGGCAGCAGCAGCGGCAGAGGCAGCGGAGGGGAGTAGCACTGCCCCTGGCGAGCTGGTGGATTAGCTCCCATCTCCCCGGAGACCGGGCCTGGGAGCGGCCTCTGCTGCCCGGGAGCCCGGGAGCCGGCAGTTTGCTCCGCTCCACCCCGCGGCATAGCCTGGGGGCGGCCTCTGCTGCCCAAGAAGCCTGACTCCCGTCTCCAGGTGGGCTTGCTGCTGGGGGGCAGGCGCGGTGCGGTCAGGGTGCGGGTAAGCTGGCGCAAATAGTTTCTCTCTATGGCTTGTCTTTTCATTTGCTTAGCAGTGTTTTGAAGAGCTTTGAAAAGTCTTCATTTTGATAAAGTTCACTATATCAGTTACTTTTTAAAATAGATTATACTTTTGGTGTCATAGCAAAGAAGTATTTGCCAAACCCAAGGCCATATTGCTTAAGCCTATGCTTTTCCTCCTAGCTGTTTTATAGTTTTGGATTTCCTTTTAAGATCTATGATCCATTTTGAATTAATTTTTCTGTATTTTGTGAGGTATGGGTCAAAGTTCATTTTTCTCTTTTTGCATACGGATGTCTAATTGTTCAGCATGACTTGTTGAAAAGATCCTTTCTCCACTGCATCCTTACTGAGATTCAACTGTCTATCTAAGTGTTGGTTTAGTTCAGAACATTCTGTTCTGTTCCATTATTCTATTTTCCTGTTTTACAACAATACTATACCATCTGATTACTGTAGCTTTATTTTAAAAAGTCTGAAAATCAGATAGTGTAAGTCTTCAAAATTTTTCTTGTTCAAAGTTGTTTTGGATATTTGCGATTTTTTGCACTTTTATATGAATTTTAGAGTTAAGTTTTAATTTTCTTACATCCTGTTCTGCCAAATTTCCACCCATGTTTTTGGCCATCTTCAAAGCTACATTTTCTGAAGAATTTCTCTAGATCCCAGGTGAAAGGAATTTTTCTTCTTCTGTGCTCCATACACACTTCATAATATTTGATTGTATTTATTCATATTTAGCTGTATTTATTTGTCTGATCTTTCCTGCCATATAGTAAACCTCTCAAGATTAGAAATCTTGACTTGGTTCCCTGCTGAGAAAACTAGTTCTGTGCTTTGCAGGATTGAGCCCTGCAGTAAGAGGTATCTGCAGCACACATCTAGCTCATGGCTTGCATATTGTCAAGGAATCCTGCAGATTTAGAATTGTTTATTGTTTATTATCTCCAAGACAGGTCAGTGTTTATTATTTCTGTTGCTACTGCTGCATTTTCAGAGAGCAATGGGCTAATTATTTTCCAATATCAAAACATGATACAATTGACTTGTGATGCTAGTTATGTACTGCTGTGTCTTAACAACCTGCTCAGAGTTCACAGGCTCCTTGACTCATGAAACTTTTGGTAGGATGTCTTTGGCTACTTGAGCAGCACTATCTGAAGTGACTCCCCCTGTATTTCCAGCGTCCCCTCAATCTTTCCTCCAGCCCTGCCTGGGGGACCAGTAGTTCTGCCCTCAAAAAGCCTGTTGTTTCTCAAGAAGAGTTTCCTGTGAAATATAATCATGTCCCTCTTGTGGGGACATTCACTCCAGAGATTTGGTGGCAGGGGAAAATGTTTAGTCTGCTTTTGGTAGAGGCTAAACTGTTCCATATTTATTAGAAGCAAATCCAATGAGGGAACTGTGTTGGCATCTAACAAATCAGCATAAATGTCTGATGAGGAAGATCAGCTTCCCCATCCCACTCAGGCGTCATGTTGTTGTGACACTCACCTTGGCTAACGTGTTCTCCTGTGTGCAACGTAAGTTTGAAGACATTATGAATGGCTTTTTGTTTTTCTTCCTTAGTCTTTCCACATTCAGTGTGTCTGGTGAAATTATATGAATCCTACTTATTTGCAGCCCAGCACTAACTTTTTTTTTTTTAAGAATCACGTGTTTAAAAGGCTAGTGGACAATTTGTTAGAAGATAGAAGTCCTCTTAGATTTTGGTCCTAAATTCAAATCTTGGTTAGTGGTGAATGAAAATTCACCTTAAAATTTAAAATACAGTGATATAAATTTTTAAAAATAGTTAAATTTTAGTCGATTTCATTAAACACTATAACAGTTATTTACCTTTAACCGGTTTCTGGGGCAATTTTGCAATAATTCCCTCTCTTCTTTGATTCCCTCTTTATCAGAGTCCTTGAGAGGCCCCTGTCATCACTGTCAGTATCATCATCATCACCATCATCATGATGGAACGGATTCCTCTGGAAGATTCTAGTAAAATAAAGAGATGGGTGGGGAGACATGTAGGTGAGTGTGTACGTATACACTGAGGACAATTATTAGACGTTAGATGCACAATATCCATTCCATTTAGAGAAGAATGTGGTCATGAAATCCTGATGTGCTGAACGAAGGAAGGGGTGGGAACAGGATCGTCAACGGAATGGAGGGGGAAGTGAGCAAAGCTGGGAGCATAGATCCTCTGTTAGGAGACCAGCACGTTGGTGTGAATGAAGGGACTGTGGTGGCAGAACAATGTGTCCCCCACCCCCACAGAGAAGCCACCTGTGACATGTTACTGTAGACAGTAAAAGGGATGACAGGTAGGACAAAAATCTTAAAAAATCATAGAGGGTTTTCCTTCTAAATTGGCTATTAGCCTTTTAAACGCATAATACGTTGTTAAAGATTAGTGCCAGGTTACAAATAAACAGGATTTGTATAATCTCACCAGACGTACTGAATGTGGAAAGACTTAGGAAGAAAAACAAAAAGCCGTTCACAAATGTCTTGAACATTTAATTGCTCACGAGAGGAAATGTTACCCAAGGTGAGTGTCACAGCCACATACATAATGCCTGAGTGGGGTGGGACAAGGGGATCCTGAGATGAGGTGATAGGGAGAGTAGCCTGGATTTTCCAGGTGGGCCCAGTGTAATCATAGGGGTCTTTACAAGCATAGGACATTTCCCATCTGAGTTTAAGTTCAGAGGGAGGTGCAGCCATGGAGCGATGTTAAGAAAGGCTGCTGGCCATGAAGATGAAGGAAGTCGTGGGGCACAAGCTAAGGAAGGTGGGTGACCGCTGGAAACTGGAAAAAAGAAAAAACAAAGAAACATTTTCTTCTAGACCCTCTAGAAGGAAGGCACCCTGCTGGTA